GCACACGCTGGGGATGACAATGCGCCACTCCACGACAGAGGTAAGCTCACGTGCGGACTTGTACTTCTTAGTATCAAGCTGGGTCAACGCGTCAGTGGGCTGCTGGGCCTGCTGCAGGTTGTGCCATCGGGTTTCTACCAATTCCATGAAGCTCTCAAGAATATGGGTCTTAGCCCAATCATTCATGTCTGCCGTACTCTTTCGAGGCTGCTAACCCAACTAGCCATCTCGCTGCCGAACCCTCCTCTTTGCTCTGACCCACACTGGAACTGTTTTGAACCAAGTGTCAAGAGCCTCATCCTTCTTATCACCTGAGAAGGTTGAGGGTGGCGTCAGTGGAGTTTCGGGGTACCAAGGTCGCTGTTGCCCCACTGGTGGGACCGGCTGTTGTGTAGCACCAGCCGCTGAACCAGAAGTTGAAGAAACAACAGTCTATCGTACTGCTGCCGACGTACCGCTTGGTGAACTGCTAAACTGAGACATAGTAGGACTAGTCATCACCGGTGAGGATACCGGCGATGGGAAAACTGGAGGCTGGAAACTGGGCCCGCCTGTTGGAGATGGGAAAGCTTTTCCCATTTCTTTGCATGGTGCTCAGTATCTGGTCAAGGGTGTCCTGGATGGCATCCAGTTTGCTGTCCATGTATGCATGCATGGACAGAAGACCTGCCTCGAGAATTCTCGTGTTGTCGTCAATGACAGCGTTGTCCAACCCTTCTACAGCAGCTTTGACTGCCTTCCTATTCTCTAGTCTAGCTTTCCTAGTTCTAATCTTGTTTTCTCTTTCAATATTTTCCGTAAGTTCCTTCTCTAACCGCAAGCGGATCAACTCCACTCGCTGGAGTTCAATGGCTTCTCTAGTGCGTGGAGGTGGAGAGATGTACTGCGAGCCCGCCATCTGACTGGAAGAACTGCTTGACGCCACTGTACCGGATGTGGTCTGCGAAGTGTGTGGCATGCCAACGCTCATCTGACTAGATGTAGCAGCTGAAGTAGCAGCAGAAGTAGCCATAGCTGCTGCAGTGACTGTTGCCGCTGCTAGCGGTTGCTCGGCTCTGCTGCTGCTTCTCTAGCCCTCTGGAAACGTTCAGCTGCTGCTTCCTGTTGCAAAGCCCTCTCTCCCTCAGGGGGTAAAGCTTGGTGCACTGTTGGAATCCTAAGGGACTCCTGAAGTGTCACCCTCCTTCCTACAGATCCATCCTCACCACTGCCTGATCCACTCATCAGCTCAGCTAGTCAGACACTGTCTGCAGTACTGCCCTCACTGGGGCCTATCACAGCATGTGTCTGACCGAGTTGAAAAATAAATAAAAATAAAATAATATTCGGTAAGTCACCTGGCTACTGTTCAAGCGGTAAATGTACACATGAGCTACTCCTATCTACAATAATATATCTACAATCTTGGGAGAGATCCCGGGCGCCCGGGCCCCGATGTCACGCCCGGTTTTGCAACCGGGTGACCGGCCGGGCATGACACCCGGTCAGGCCCCGGGCAGCCCCTGCGCAAAAAAAAAAAAAAAAAAAAAAAGAAGAGAACTCCATAAAGATCTGAAAAAAAATATCTTCTGTAGAATTGCAATACGAGCAACTTTTGGCTGAGGGTCACGTCAGAATTCCTCACGGAACTGAAGATAAAAAAAATAATAATAATAATAAAAAATCACATTAAGGCACCCCCCTTTAAACCCCTTTAGCCCCTTCAAAATTCATTTATACTCCCCTTCCCCCCCCCCCCTTTGACAGCCAACTCTCAAGAAAAGAAAAGAGCCAGTTTTTGGGCTCCTCTCAGAAAGCGCAGAAAAACCCCACCGCCAATTTTATTTTTTTTTCAATTTTTTTCCCATGCCTGGGTATTGCAGGCGTCAGACCCCCCTGGGCATCACGCCCGGGTGACCGGCCAGTCCAGACTGGCCGGTCATGAAAATCTTCCTAGTCTACAATAATATAAAAAACGCTGACATCGTATCGCACAGCCCAGATTGCGGGCCAATCACCACCTGCAGACGGCTCAGATTGCAGGCCGATGAGAAAATTTTCTCATCGGCCTGCGATATGGGCCGTCCGCGGGTGGTGATCGGCCTGCAATCTGGGCCGGTGCAATACCGGAAGTGGCGCGTGGCCTGAAACGACCTGCCCAAACGGCCCTTACGCTTTTTCTTTTTCCTTTTTTTTTTCGGTTGTTTTTTTCGTTGTTTTTTTTTTTTTTTTTTTTTCGGTTGTTTTCCGCTGTTTCGCTTTGGTCCAGCCCGCCTGCCCGCAGCTTCTGAACGCATGCCGCGTGCCTGTCCGCATCATCAAGCATCAAAAATAAAAATAAATCATGTGAGCAGATGTATGCACAATGGGTATGTTTGTGATTGACAGTTGAGCGTCAATTGGAATCTCCCTCTCCTGTATCCAACGTGCCTGTCCGCATCATCAAGCAGCAGTGTTTAAGGTGTGCATTAATGGCCCACACCTTTGCCCAGGAATATGCTTATGACCAGTACTGCCCTTTGTTTATCCTCGTGTGCAACGAGCCTTACGTCTGACTGATCTGCCTGATCAAGAGGCAGTTTAAGGACAGCCCCCAAAGTCCTCGGGAATTATTTAACATCGCAGACAGGACGACGATCACAGCCAGTGGACAGTTCAGATCCCAGCCAGAAATGTTTATAGACGTTCTGGTAAGCGTCTGCATAGGACTGGTCAGTCCGCACTCCCTCTATTAGCGGAGCAAAGAGCCTTAAAGGACAAAGCAGCATGGCCTGCGTGTACTACTCCCATGGGTTGGCATGGTGACCGTGACCCGTGCTTCGACCAGGGCCCTTCAGAGGCACCGCCCTGTCCTGCCAGATGCGCCACCACGAAGAATGTCGTCCCTGGAGGTAGAGCGCTCATGACTCCTCACTGAAGAGTGGATACTCAACGTTGGACTCACTTCCTCATGGTAAGAAGAGATTGAGAGGGTAGATGAAGTAAGGGAACGAATTACCTGGAGATAGCTGCCCCCAACCACAGATTTCTCACAGTTGAGCCAATGTGCATTTCGATGACCGGGCGTAGCTTCGGTACCACCCACAAAACAATGCTGTGCCACCTCAGCCAAAATGCCACATCAGCATGCTCTCATCATCGCACATACATCCGCTGTCGCCACAGCCTTCCTGCGACCCACCCCTCTACCCGGGTGTCGGAATGTCAAGCCAGCGCCAATGTATCCTCGCTGCACAGCAGCAGCAGCAGCAGCGCACCAAGTAACAATATCGCCAGTGGTGGATAGGTGATCTCGAACCAGCTCCGATACCAAATTGCAAGGAATACGGGCGAGGGCGATATACAGAGAACCAAGCTGCAAAATCACGCAGAAGTCCAGATAGTCATGTAACAAGCAGAGAGCTCAAATGCACCAAGATTCCATCCAAATAAGAGCAACACAATGAACTCGGGAGCCAATGTTCAAGCCCTCAGGCCAAACCAATGCAGTATTCAATGTCACTCTTCTATGTCTGGCGCCCAGCGCCCAGGCAACTCTACTTATCCTACCAAGCCTGGGCGCCCAGCCAACTCTACTTATCCTACCAAGCCTACCTACGTTCATGCAACAGGCTCACTTCGACTTTGGAGACCAATGCACATGTCGTCAACACCAATGCCGACCTCCCACATACACCAGGTGCGTACTCATCTCCCTCATCACCTCGACCACCCACTTCTGCGCCTCCTCCCGAAGACCCCTGTCACTTTCCTCTGCCTGTGCGCCCTGTAGCCTGGCTATGGCCGCTAATGCCCCGCTGCCTAGCAGCGCCCCTCACCTCTCAGGGCCCGCGCGTGCTCCAGCCAGCCAGCGCACATGCAGACACTTGCGCAGCGTTGCAGCAGTGTGTCCGCATTGCCTGTCTAGGCCAGAATACACTCCCTGGCTGGCTTGCTTCCTATATGGAAGTGGCAGCTGCTGCTGGCCTCCCTGGGCCTGGCCGTGGAAGTTTCCAGTAGCTTCTGGTCGGGCCCCAGTGTCTGTGCCCAGGCCCATCTCGATAGTTAAGGGCCTGGGCCCTTTTCAGTTGGGCAGACCCAGCAATTTCCAGGCTCCAAATGTTTGCTGCATTTCCACTGGCCCCCAAGGTAGATACGACGACAATGCTGCTTACCCGCTGGCCTGTGGCCACTTCGTGATGTGTCGGCCTCGCAATGCGTGTGCACAGGGCACAGGGGCCTCGCAATGCGTGTGCACAGGGCACAGGCGCTCGGGCCCTGGGCTCAACTGCCCGGCGCAGTTGCATCTTCTGGAAGAGCCCATGGTAGGCCCAGGTTGCACTCCAACCAGGTGTCGTGCAGCAACTGTATGAGACCGGTTTTGGAAAATGCTGCGATAAGGGCCTCTAGTGAATATTCAGGCCCGCTCGCCTTCACTTAGGGCGGGCACGAGGCTTGCTCAGACCATATGCATGTTGTCTAAGGTCCCTAAGGACACATTACTCGCACACGAAAAAAGAGAAGAAGAAAAAGAACTGAAACTGAACTTAGGGCGGGAAAGCGGGTTCATACATTCTGGGAAGTTGTAGTGTGGACATACCCTCCTTCACAAGGTTCAGCAGTCTGTGGACTGCGCCGTGCCTCCCTGGCAGGGCATGAAAACAAAAGAAAAAAGAAACAAAACAAAAACAGCAGCAACGACAACCTGAAACTGGCCATAATCGTAGTTAGATACTTTCTTCAAGTTTCTTGCGAGTATTGGTGTGAGCACAACTTCGTACACAGCCTTCCTGGACTTAGTCTTTTGTTTTTCTTTTTTGCTTTTCGAAGGGGCCCACAAGGCCCAACTGCTGAGCCTCTGCCAACCCCTGTAAAGTTTGGAAAAAGTGGGGAAAAAAAAACAGCCGCTTTTCCCATTTTTCCCAACACTGGTGGAGGTAGTGGTGGTTTTAATAGTGTTGGCTACTTGTTATTTGTTTAACCGCCTGTTTTTTTTTTGTTTTTTTTTTTTGTTGTTGTTGTTGTCTTGTGTTCCTCTGCAGGTACGAAAGGTTGGACCTGATTGTGACGCAGAACCTTTTGCTGAGGCCCAATACCATTAATTTTATTGCGGCAAAGTTGCTTGCGGATACTTTGCTGTTCGGTCCTATTCATCTTGTTGCATTTTTTGCGTTCACTGGACTCGCTGAAGGCAAGGCTGTCAGTCAGGTGAAGCGCGAAGTGGTCCGGGATTTTGTCCCTGCATTTCTTATGGAGGGAACTTTCTGGCCCATCGTTCAAGCAGCCAATTTTCGGTTCGTTCCTGTGCGACACCAGTTGTTGTTTGTCAATGCATGTTGCCTTTTCGACAGCATATTTCTGTCCTGGTTAAAGCATCAGGCAGATGCTCCCTGGAAGAAATGGCTGGCATCCTCCTTCGGGGACAAGACAGCCACTGGGTGAGTGACCCTTGATGACCTGTTGTTTCAAAACCGGCAGTACAATGGCCAGGGCAGCTTGTAAAGTGATTTGTGTGAAATTCAATGTCAAAATTACAGTTCTGTTGTAGTGAAAATTAAGAGGTAATTGTGTACCGTAGGAGTCGGTCGGTTGTGTGTAATGTTTGAATGAATGATTGCTATTGCCGATGTGTTTAGGTATCTGTTGAGATGGGTGGATGGATGAAGTATGGGTGCGTGGATGGATATCTGTTGAGATGGGTGGATGGGTCTGTGGATGGGTAAAATTTATATGAGGCCTGGAGAAATTTAAGCCCTCGTTTATAGATAGGCTGACCGTCAGGAACAAAGCGTATTAGTATGCGCAGTTCGTCCTGATGGTTGGTGACAAGAGGGGTCACCATTTATGGAGGGTCTCCATCGCGATAGATCTCAGATTGATGGATGGGCAGGCGGGCGGATGGACGGATGGACGGATGGAGGATGGAGGAAAGGGTCAAGCGTTTAGGTGTGTAGGGTCTTGCATATGGATGTGGTTTGCCCCCGTTCTTTTGTTTTCCTCTTTATGGGTTTCATCATAGCAATTTGCAGTTTGCCAAATAAGGGGTCAGATGAGGGTAGCTGTGTAGTCATTGAATAACATGATGACGGTTTTTTTTTTTTTTTTTTTTTTTTTTTTTTTTTTTTTTTTTTTTTTTTTTTTTTTTTTTTTTTTTTTTTTTTTTTTTTTTTTTTTCCATTCAATTGTTGAATGAGCAAAACGTGTATTTTGATCTACTTTTCCATTGAGCGAGGAGAGAGGTACTTGCCTGCGCTCCTTCACGTGGACGAATTGAAAATGTGTAAGTGAATTGAAACTGGAAGCTTGTCTCGCGAGGTAAACTTTCTCTGCGTTTGCTTTGGTGATGAGATGGAATTTGGAAACAGTCATGGCAGGGAATGACAAGTGAGGTGATATTCATGTGTGTGTTTTGTGGAATATAGTCATTTTGCTGGTACAAGTCTGAATTCTGAGAGGTAAAAAAGATTGAATTTCATTTGATTTGGTGGTGGGTGCGAAGGAAAGGGCGCAGCGCAAACCTGCATCACTGAAATTCACTCGCGAAAGCTTGAATATGCGGATGCCGTTATTTCTGTCGTGCAAAACCCGTAAAGTGTACGAAGCCCATGAAGTGTAAATAGGCTGGGTGGGTGTATGCTTGGCCCGATGTGGATAGTATGCCCTCTAGTTATTGGTCATTGGGCCATAACGATCAGGCTTCGACTGCTGAGGTTTGGTTGGAAGTCTTGAGAATGCGCTTGCTGTAAGCTGATCCGGCACCTTTCGGTGTAGTTTTGGCCGGAAAAAGGTTGTTTTGTGGGCTATGTTGATATTGTTCCTGGGCTGGCATTTGGTATGACCTGGCATCTAGCACTAGGTAGACTTCTTGCTGAAGTTTACCTCCTCTTCAGTTGATGTTTTTTTTTTTTGGAGTTGGATGACTGCCTTTTGTAAAGAAGTGAAGAGGTGATGATGCTTCTCTCTGACATCTGCGCGGAATGGCTAGGGACACGGAAAGGAGAAAGCCTCGGGAAGGCATCTACCTGGAGCGATGGGGCCCTGCTCTACTTCTTTCCGATGATTGGATGAAGTGTGATGCTTCCTGTTTTTTTTTCTTTTCTTACGACGACTCCTCTCTATTCCATGGCCCCTTCGCTCCTTCCTGCTCCTCCGTGATGGACATCAGCCGGCAGCTGGAGGCTGCTTATAACTAACCCGGTCGTTTGGTGGTCCTTTCTCTGCCAGCCCCATGTTGGGCTGGAAAAAGCTTTTGCAAATCGAAGGAGGAGAATTTATCTGGCGTAGTGTCTTCGAGTCTTCGACCACCAGTACATGGCCCCAGGCAACTTGAGAATCGCGATTGATCACTCTGAAAAAAAAACCTGGAGGCTCGGGGCGACTGGACCGAAATGTGGCTTGCGGCACGAGCCAAAACTGAAAAAGAATGCCGCTCTGGCGAATACGGCGAAGCTTGGTGTTAAGGGTTTAGGGTTCAAGGCTTGTGAATTTAGCCTCGGATTTGATGTACTTGGTGGTTTAAAGTTGAAGAGCCTCTTCTGAGCCACAGTCTCTGGTGTGCTGTACAGATGCTGAAAGGTTTGTTATCCCCTGCGATGGGCAATGAATACTGCCCAGCTCTCCATCTCTGATTTTGTTGGGGGGGGGAGGAGGGGGGAAAGGGACACTGGTGCTGTCTTCCAGGACTTGTAGCTCGCCACCAATCGATTGGAGCCATTAAAAAAAAGGGTTGCATATTCGGAGGATGGTCTTATCATTCTTGGAGTTTGCACCTTCAACAAGGAGTTTTTCTTGGGTAGCCGCAAACCGAGGAATGAAAATATTACGATGGGCATTGTGGGAGGGAAGTGGAACGGGTGGGGATCAGAATGGTGTGGGAGTACAGGTAATGGCAGGTGCTGGCTCATAGTGAGAAGGGGCTATCACAGGAAAAAAACTGGACTTTATGGGAACAGGATGATGGGCGTATGTGGTGATAACTGGGGACAGTAGTGAATTGATTACCAGCCAGGAATCAAACGCTTGGTACAATTCTCACACCAGGCTGAGCACGAACCAAACGCACATGAGAAGCTAAACCAAAACTATCATAGTTGCTGCAAGTCACCCCCACATACAAGATTGTCTTCTTCAAACTTGGCTGTTGCTGGCACCAACAATACTCAGGTATGCTCACATTCTCTCTCTCTCTCTCTCTCTCTCTCTCTCTCTCTCTCTCTCTCTCTCTCTCTCTCTCTCTCTCTCTCTCTCTCTCTCTCTCT